TTAGGAGCACAAAGTTCATTTAACCAATTAAATAAAAAGGAAAACAAATAAAATCTCTCGTTCCCCTTCCTTCCTTGGGCTCGGCCCATTCCCTCCCCCTCCTTCCCGGCAAGGCCGGCCTCCCTTCCCCTCCCTCGGCCCGCTCGGCCCTCTCTCCCAAAAGTCTATTTGAACTATCTAATCCGGCCTCCCCTCTCTCCTTTGGCCGACAGGTGGGACGCGCGGCCCCACCTGTCAGGGCCATCCCTAACCTCCGGCTCCCTGAGCCGAAACCGCCGCCATGGCCTCCCCACGTCGCCGCCGATTCCGCCTCCTCCTCCACCCACGCGCTAGCCCCGACCGCGGGACCACGTCGCCCCCCCTCCTCCACTCTCCTCCCCCACTTCTCCCCTCCAAAACCGGCGCCGAACCGCCCCACCTCGCCCACGTCGCCGGAGCCCACTCCGACGGCCGTTGCCGGCCGATTCCACCCTCCGCGGCCACGATCTCACCGCCCCGCGACAATAAAAACGATCCCCGTGCTCTCCTCTCCCATTTTCCCAATTTTCCCGAGCTCCCCGCGCCCTCTCCCGCTCTCCCCTCGCCAAGCTGAGCCGCCGCCGCCCGCCGGAGCTCTCCAGCCGCGCGCCGTTGCTGCTTCCGTCGCCCCCGCACTGCGTCGCCGCCACCTATAGCATCGCAGCGCTGCACCGCACCCCGGCATCCACTCTATCTCCCTCCTCCACCGCCGGAACCACCTTCCCACCGCGAGGCCAAGCCACTACCGCCACTCACCGCCTCCAGCCATGCGCTGCCGCCGCTCCCGTTGTTGCCGACCTGTGCCGTCACCTCCCTCAGCTCCGCAAGGACGAGGAGGTCCTCGGCCGCCGCCCCTCTTCGCCGGAAATCCGCCGGAGCTCCACCTCCCTCGATCGCCGGTGAGCTCCTCCTGTCTTATTGTCGCGGTTGGCCGTCGTTTCCGGTCACCTCGCACCAGTCCTCCCCTCCTTTAACCTTCTCAGATCGAGGCCGAGCCCGTCTGCCCATTCCCGAGTGACGCCCGTCGTCGGAGCTCCGTCGCGTCGTCTTACCGAGGAGCCCCGCCACTGCCATTCTTTGCCGTCGGCCTCCCCTTCGCCGTCGTGGCCCTCGGTGAGCACTCCCCTCTCTCTCCCTCTTCCTCCCCTTCGTCAGCCGCCTCCCGGGCTTGCTCGCGACGCGTCGCCACCGCTGGTGGCCATCCGACCGGGCACCGCCATCGCGCTCCGCGCCGCTGCCGGCCATGTCGGGCAGCTGGCTGCCGCCTCCCCTTGCCGCGCCATGCCTCCGCTCTCTCGTGTGCGCCGCCGTCGCCCGCGTGCGTCGTCGTCGGCCGTCGCAGCCGGTGGCCGCGCCGCCGCGCGCCGTCGCTCGGCCCGGCCGGCCTGAGCCGTGCCCGTGCCCCTGCCGCGCCGCTGTCGGTCCCATGGACAACTCCCGTGGTCCGGGTCCACTGTGCCGCCCCGTCCACGGTGGTCCACGGTGGACTCGTCCACCGTGCGCCCGTCCTCTTGTGCCGCTGACGTGCGGGGCCTGCCTGTCGGCGCGCCTCTCCCCTTGATGACGTCAGTAGTCCCTTTTTCGTTTGAGAAATTATTTAATAATTGCGCAATAATTCGATTAATAATTATAGAAATTCATTTAAATGGCTCAAAACTTGTAAAATTCATATCTAATTCATATGAACTCAGAATTGGGCCATTCAACTTGCAAAATTCATCTAAAATTGAGCTCTACATGTTTGTTTACTTTTATGCACTGTTTGCTTGGTTTTTATTAGAGTTTTTCCTCGTTTTGCGTGTTAGCAAGTAGATTTCGCCGTTTCGGAAGATCGGTTTTGCAAGGATAAGAGTTCAGAAGGTTGTTGTGGAGAAGCAAGGCAAGTCACACATTCCCCTTGAGCATTTTGAACCTAATTTACATTTTGATCCTAATTTACAAATGTTTTACCGTTTGCAAATAAAATCGCATGTCTTGCTAATTACATGGGATCCGGGTATTACCTATCTGCTCGGTTGTGCTATGCTTACATGATATCTGTCCTTTGTCAATATTGGGTAATAAATCGACTAGCTCATGTTACTTATGTGACCTAGGTAGAACTATATGCTTAGCCATGCTCAATTACCACTAGCTCAGTTGATGGGAGAATTACAGCATTAGACCTTTTTAGTATCAGAATGAGCTGCGTTCTCGAGACACTTGGCCATGCTTCATGGTCGTAATTATCCAACTAACATGCGACTGAATGGTGGGCTGTGGGTGCATGGTTTTGCTAGTCGCACCCATGGCAATTAAGGATCGGTTCGCGGGAAACCCTGGAAGAATTTATTGTACTTATCACAAGCTAGCATGGGCAACGGCTGGGCTTGTAGTGTAGATTCCTCCAGCCAACGCATCCAGGCAAGGGTGGGCGTGATGGAGTTCGGATGGGCCCTGCGATGGTCTATGCGGCTTTCGGATTCACCTAGGCACGAGAGGGGACTGCCCGTTGCCTTGCGAGGAGTGGGGGTGAAACCTGCGGTGTGGTGTGTTTAGTTAGAGGGGGTTATGCGAAGGGTCCTGTCACGGTCTCTTTCCGGTATTTGTGGTGTTATGTCAGCGCACGGTAACGTATCGTGGGGCTGTGTCTTGTGGGTACAATTGTACACCACTGATCAGAGTAAGACTATTCGAATAGCCGTGCCCGCGGTTATGGGTGGTCGACCAGATTCACCGTGATTAGTCTCACCTTAATAAATCGACTCAATGCACTGTAGTAGAGGTGGGTTGGTTGGGCCTGTTCAACGTAGTGTAGCGTTGATCAGTGGAGATTTAATATTACCTTATTTATTCTAATTTTTTACTGTTTGCTCAATAAAATGTTTTACAACCGCCTTTATGCAAATAGCCTTAAGCCATCCTTGTATCCCCTTGCACATCTCCATTATTGGTGTGGCTTGCTGAGTACGGTGGTTGTACTCAGCCTTGCTATTGTTCCCCCTTTTCAGAAGTCTAGTGCTTCTGAACTAAAGACGGAGTTAGAGGCCCAAGGCTCAGACCCTAGTTGAGTTTCGCCTGTGGAGTGGAGCTGAAGCCCCGATAGGATCGCCTTTTCCGCTACTGCTGCTTTCTTTTCGGTGTGAGGACTAAGTGCCTCTTCTGTAAGTATTTTACGCTTTATTTACGTTTGGAACTGTATATTACTTATCGTTTTGTGTACCCTAGCTGGTCTTGGACAGGGATTTAATACACAAAATAGTCTTAAAAATTTGGGCTAAATTTCTGGGCGTGACACTGCGCCGCTCGGCCGCCCGATCGGCCTCAGCTGATCTGGGCCGTCGAGTGCGTGCCCGCGTGGCTGGTCGCCGCTGTGGACTCGGTCCATGATGGACCGGTCGCCCCTTGTGTTGCTGACGTGTGGGGCCCGCCCCTTTGTGGACGCGGTCCGCGCCTCACCCCTTGCTGACGTCAGCAGCAACCATTCCCTTTGAGAAAGTAAATATTAATTGCGCCATAAATCATTAATAATTATAGAAATTCATTTAAATGGCTCAAAACTTCTAAAATTCATATCTAATTTATACGAACTCCAAACTGGGCCATTCAACTTGCAAAATTCATCTAAAATTGAGCTCTACATGTTTGTTTACTTTTTATGTGCTGTTTACTTGGTTTTTATTAGAGTTTTTCCTCGTTTTTCGTGCCAGCGAGTAGAACCCGTCATTTCGGAAGATCATGGTTGTGAGGAAAAGTGTTCGGAAGATCAAAGTGAAGAAGCAAGGCAAGTCACACATTTCCCTTGAGCATATTGAGCCTATTTTATAAACGTTTTACCGTTTTCAAATAAATATGCATGTTTTGCTAATTACATGGGAAGATATCTATCCTTTGTCAACCTTGGGTGATAAATCGACTAGCTTGTGTTTCTTATGTGACCTAGCTAGAACTTTATGCTTAGCCATGCTTAATTACCACTAGCTTAGTTGATGGGATAATTACAGTTCTAGACATCTAGTATCTTGACGAGCTGCGTGCTCGAGACATCTGGCCATGGTTCATGGTCATAATTATCCAACTAAAATTCGACTGATTGGTGGGCTGTGGGTGCATGATTTTGCTGGTCGCACCCATGGCAATTAAGGACCGGTTCACTAGAAACCCTGGAATACATACAGCGCTTGCCACAAGCGGGAGTGAGTAACTGCTTGATCTGTAATATAGCTCGACCCTTTCCTAGGCACCGGTGGCGAAGGTGGGCGTGATGGAGTTGGGTCGGCCGGGGTGTCCGGTTGTCCAGCTGCCGGATTCACCACGGCGCTCGAGGGGACTGTCCACCTCCGGGGTATAGGGTGGGCGTGAAACCTTAGTGTGGTGTGGATGGTTAGGGGAGGGTTATGCTAAGGGTCTTGTCACAATCATTCGACATGGTGACATGTCTGCGCAGGCACGGTGACATGCCGGTGGATTGTGTCTTGTGGGTACAGTTATGCACCTCTGGCCAGAGTAGAACTATTCGAATAGCTGTGCCCGCGGTTATGGGCGATCGACCAGATTCACCGTGATTAGTCTCACACTTAATAAATCGACTCAATGCACTGTTAGTTCAGGTTGGAAGGTTGAGCCTGTTCAAGTGGTGTAGCGTTGATCTGTGGAGATTTAATATTACTTTAATTATTCAACTGTTTTACTATTTTGTTCAATAAAATGCTTTGCAACTGCATTTTTGCAAATAGCCACAAACCGTCCTTGTATCCCTTTGCACGTATGCATCATTGGTGTGGCTTGCTGAGTACGGTGCTTGTACTCAGCCTTGCTATTGTTGCCCCCTTTCAGAAGTGTAGTGCTTCTGAGCTGAAGACGAAGTTAGAGGACCAAGGCTCAGACTCCAGTTGAGTTTTGCTTGTGGAGTGGAGCTGAAGCCCCGCTAGGGTCGCCTTTTCCGTTGCTGTCGTTCTCTTTCGGTGTGAGGACTAAGGGCGTCTTCTGTAAGTATTTTACGCTTTATTTACGTTTGGAACTATATATTACTTGTCGTTTTGTGTACCCTGGCTGGTCCTCGACAGGGATTTAATACACAAAATAGTTTGGAAATTTGGGTTAAATTTCTGGGCGTGACACCATGCACAAAGATTGTTCCCTGATTAAGGACAAGTATAATTCCTCAGCCATAGTTACCACTGTTTACTTTTCATTTGAATTTAATTACTGAAGGTCCTGATCCCTATGGTTTATTAATTTCATTGGAGCATACAGTTCTAGTGTTAGCTCTTTTGACCATACTTATCTATAGTAAATTAGTAATTAGTACAGTATACATGTTGCTTTCCTATGATGTCTTGAGTGTGGAAAGGAATATTTTTCTGATTTGATCTGACCTTGGCTGTTTTATTTTATTGGGACTAGCACATATAGGCTGGCTGGCAATATGTTTTGATTTGTTTGTGGTCGTATGGGAAATTAAGCTCTGTGGTCGTTGCATATCATGAAATTAAGCTTCTAATTCCTCCGTTTCACAATGTAAGTCATTCTAACATTTTCCACGTTCATATTGATGTTAATGAATCTAGATAGATATATATGTCTAGATTCATTAACATCAATATGAATATGGGAAATGCTAGAATGACTTACATTGTGAAACAGAGGGAGTATTTTGTTTCATAAAATTCTGAGTGTGTTTCTTTTGTTGTTCTGAAGAAGTAAGAAAATGAAACCGAGTTCTAGACAATATGACCCTTTTCAGATGAAAATTGATTCTGTGTGTCCATTTGTATGCTACTGACAACGATGAGGATGGGGAATAGATGGATAACAGAATGACTATTGATGACAAACTGAACAGGTTGCCTTTTCTTTAGGCTTCTGGTTTATTCTTTTCTCTACTGTTTTGCCTTACATATTCGTACCATGTAATACTTAATGTGCAGCTTATTCCATTGATATTAGTAGCGTGCACAAAAGAAGTTGCATTTATGTCACCTTCCTCTGAATCCTTCCAAATACTGCTTCCTTTGTAAGAGTTGAAAGCATATGATTTTTCTTGCAGAGTTGGGGCTTCATTGAAGGGTCTAGCATTGCATGTTACTTTAAACGACCCAAGATTCATATGACAATATTAGGTTTCTCCAGCCTATACTCATTTTACACGAAGAGCCTGGTAAGTCAGCTATATGAATTCTTTATTATATAACCTATATCATTATGCTTATTTCTTGAAACTATGTGCATTTGAAGGTGAATTTGGCTTATTATATGTGCTAACAAATTTGTTGTGCTATAGTACCTTTTATAGTGTGCAAGGTCCAGTGGAAATGGACAAATTGATTGATGTGTATTTCTGAACCCAGTTTGTTCATGGGTCCATAGCTTTATTTTTCTGAACCCAGTTTCTAATTGTTTAGTTACACTTCAAGTTTTGAGCAGTCTTATACTTTTCGAACCACATCAGTTTTGACTGGCTGCTACATTTTGTGGTATAAATGGTAGCCAACAGCACTTTAATCCGCGCACTTATCTCAGGATTATCAAACTGATCCTCCATGAGGCCATGATTGAGCTGGTTTCTTGTTAGTAGGGTACCTGAAGGGCACAGTTCTGCCTAGTAAAGGCTAGGTTGTTTTGAACTAGAGTTTTTCCCTTGATGAAGCATGAAATCTATAGATCTGATTATTTTCATTGTTTGTCATTGTTCCCAATCAGTAGTAGATTGCTCAACCATTTGTTCATGTCAGGTGATAATACCTGAAAGATGGCTTTTTCAATGTGGTGGATGGTGCTTTTGTAGATCCAGAGATGATGCTTTTATAGATGTAAGTATGGAGGAGATTATTCATTCATGTGGATTAGTTAAATACCATTTCCTCACTATTTGATACTTATGGGCTTATCAATCTTTATTTCTATTCCTGCAGGTGACGATGATTAGTATTTGACTTTGTTTGTCAGCAACTTGTCTTTTTCTAGTTTGCTACGGTAGGATGTGTGAAATTTATTGTATTATGGTCTTTGGGAGCTCATATTTTTGTGTAGGAAACTATTTTGCTTCTTGGGAATTGTCTGAGCAATGTAAAATATTGTATTTCTGATATCACCACTATTGTAACTTCAAGGCTTTTTTGCATGTTGTGTTTTTATGACATATTTAGTGCATTTATATGGACTATTTATTATCCTAATAAAAGTTTGGTAGCTGATTGGGCTAAATTTGGAAACTAAAACGGGCTAAATTTGCTAAAAACATATGAAATATGCATTAATTTAGGCACAAACTGTGTTAAGCCCAACATGATTTGGGCCATTAAATAGGCTGAGACAAATTGGGCTGAAAATGTCAACGGATATAATATCATTGAGCTGAAACTAATCGTGTTAAATGGGCTGGGCCTAAATCTAACCAGGTTTATAATTGGGCTAAGCCCATAAATAGGTTGCTTACTATAAGGCCCTTGATGGGTCATGATGTATTTAATGACATTTTCTAGGCTTGATAATGACGAAAATGAGCGTCATAAATTTATGACGACAGAAGGATCGTCACTAGATTCATGACATAAAAATAAGGTTTCGTCATAGAACGCCATTAGAGACGCATGATAGGTGGCGAATGAATTTTCGTCATGCGAGCGTCACAGACTATGAAATGTGATGAAAAATTCAATGTTTGTGAAGTCTCCAGACTGAAGTTTCAAAGTAGCTTCATCAAATTTTTGAAAGCTTTTCGCTCTTGTGATTGAGGTAGGCATCTCTGCCCTCCATGTTTCAGGATTGAGTATATGAGAAACTGAAGTGAAGGAGGATTTGTGCATGAAAAATATTGCATAATTACTTAGTATAGAATTACATACATAGAAAATTCTCTAAAAGATAAGAGTAATCTGCTTCTCTCTTTCTTGCAGTAGCCTTTGGAACTAACACTACTATCAAACGATTAGCTCTACTAACTTTCTTCCTTGCAGGAGGCACAATTAGCAGTGCATCTCTCATGCTCTGTGTTACTTCTTTTGGTAAGATAAACTACAGTGAAAAATTAGTTGCATGATAAATTGTGCAAAATTCCATATGTAGATTGTATTTTGCTTCATACTGTTTTGCATGTTCAAGAATTAATTGTATTGTTATTTACTTATTATATGAAAGGAATATGACAAATTAAAGAAAGCGTGTTATACCAGACCATATTCATGCTTCTATGTTAATCTATTATAGATTACCAGGATATACTGAGCAATCAGTATTAGAGTTTGATCAGTTCAAAGGGTAGTGATGTTGATATTCAAGGTAGAGGATAGGGAATTTTATCTGCTTTCTATCTTTGCTTTCCTGTTTGGCATAAGCATCTTTAAATCATTTTCTGCAGCATGGCCTAATTAATAATTTCTTTCACTGATCAGACATGGATTGATTACCTCCACATAAAAATGCAGACAAGTCTAGACTTTATGTGGAGGGCTCCATGGTTACTGATAACTCCAATGCTAACATATCTTCTGAAGATGTTGATTTTTCGAAAGGTAAGGTATATTTCAGTCTCCTTAGCTCTCCGAGATATGCTGTATGGCACAGTGAAAAGGCATCTGATGAGCTCACTTCAGATTGTTTATTTTCAAGATAGCTGAACACCTGAACCTTCAACTAGACTCAAGTATGAGTCTGTAGTAGGTTTCAAAAGTGAAGGTTTTACTATAGAATAGAGTTAATTCTTATTTTCCAGTAGTCTGCTTTGATTGGTATCTATTTTCCAGTGCCTCAAACCACAATGTGTTTTGTATATATATAGCCGCAGCTTTGATTTGAGACATTGGAGAGTCATGATAGTTTGATCATTAACCACATTTTAACAATGTAAAATGTATAAAATATACAACATTGTAATTTTACCCCTTGTGATGCGGGTTAAAATTATAAACATGTCAGATTGTAAATTGGATGTAAAAAAGCTTTGGTGTCCTTAAATGGCATGGTTGTTTTATAAGACCCTGTGATTTTCTACATGTCACCTTAACAATCAGTAGGCTCCGTTGGATTTGTGTGGACTCATAAAGAAGAGGTGCTTGTGTTTGCTGGTTCATCAAACAGCTCCATCAAAGCGGTAGGGCGTGGGAGAAGCCAAAGGTTTGGCTGTGCTGCTACTACTACAAACATCCATTGACATTCACTATTTTGAAGATCAGTAGTACTATTTTTATTTGCGGATCAGCGGTAGGGTTCTGGACTTAAATTGCCGATCAAATGATTTGCGGATGCAAATAATGAATTTCCATATGTAGACCTGTAGTGGGCCGTATGATAATAATATATTTGGTATATTGCAGAAATGACTTTGTAGTCCAAAATTGCTCATATAATTAAGTTGTCAAATTATGTGCACAGACAATACACCTGATTTGTCTGCAATAACAGGTAATGACGTGCCAAATTGCTCTTCAGCTTCAGCATCCAATGTAATCACGTTTCTGTCAAGTGAAATTTGATATTTAGATGCTAATAAACTAAATCTGTATGACAACAGTTACGGGTTGAATCAACTAATTTTCTGACAATAGATGTGCTTTAGTGCACAACCTAAAATTTCTTTAATTCAGAAGAACATGTAACCACATTAGGTATAAAATTTGCAAGATATCGATCTTGATGGCCTGGTGCTGCTAGGTGTATGCATTAATTCTAGTGCACTGGATGTAGTTTGCTTGCCTCCAGGATTATATGATAAGTTAGATGTATTTTGTTGGCCTGCTGGATGTATGCATTCAGCTCCTTACTTATTCTTGATTTATTTGTGCATGCCGGATCCATGGAAGAATCAACCCACTAAAGTCTGAACTCTGAAATAAGGCTTTTGGTATACTGTGGCCTACATATTCTGCACGTCATAGAGCTTTCATGTCACAGTATATGTACAGGTTAGCACTGGATGGAAATTAATACCTCATTTGTTTTCTATCTTTTCAAGAACTTTGCTCAGGGTTGGTATAAATCACTACTCAAGTAACTTTGTGATGGCATCTATCTAGCCCTATGGCCATTTACATAGAGGAATAACTATGCATTTATCTGATTTTCTTCTTATGTAAGTGAAATGATCTGGTGGGTACAAATTATTACATGATTCTGTTATTCTCTAAGTCAATATCTTGGATGATCTTATACTGCTTTTTGTTTGCAGGCTTCGGGGAAGGTTGAGAATTCAAGCCTGGTCAAGAGATTTTTTTTGTTGCTTATATTGTTTGACAAAATAGATATTTGGTTGTATCACTGACAAAAATGTTTGATATAGCATTTTATTGATTCATGTAGATTGACAATTGATTTCACAAGCAAATGAAAGAGTATGTTTATTTTCACTATGATTTCCCTGATTTATCCTGAACTTTCTTCAAAAATTTGGGTCTAATACTCTAATTTCTTTTGAATCCTATTGGTACTTGGGCACTGTTGAGGAGGGAGGGTGTTGGAACTGCCACGAGGCCGAGGGTGTTGGTCATTGCTGTTGTAAACCAACGCGCCTATTAGCGGATTACCGGATCCATTCCCTGTCCCTCCCATAGCAGTAGAGGCGTGAGATGATGTAGAACACCCGCGCCCATCCCTTTGCCCTCAAGAACATTGCAGAAGTAGACAATGAACACAGATATAGGGTGGAGCTCTCTCTTTATTATAGATCTCATCTGGAGTACAAGCCAACCATTAGCCATAGATGTCACACCCTGCCCCTGTATATATAGGGGTCTTAGGAGGAGATAGATCTTATCTCTACTCCTGTATATATAGGGGTCTTAGGAGGAGGAGATAGATCTTATCTCTACTCCGGTTCGGATTGGCCCACAAGAAACTTATCTCCTAGAGATTTGTTTCACAACACTCCCCCTTGGGCTAATCCGCGACTAACTCATGCCTCGTCAAAACTCCTACCAAAACCCAATGGGAAAAAGGCTAGGAGAAAGAGTACATAGTTATCGCTCATGCATTGCACGTTGTTGCCTCGTTAAAAACCTTATGTGAGGAGCAACAGCTCCACTCACTCAAGGGAAAAAGAGTACAACACAAAGGACTACACGGTCCATCTTGTGGGTCATGTTCTAGGGTGCTCTCCCCCTGAACCCAGCAAACATCAAAGTCTTCTCATCCCGATTCTCTAGAAAAGCTTCCGAGAACTAAAAGCTGGGAGAGACTAGGTGATCAATCCTCTAGATTATCACTCAACTTGAATTGCTACTCACCTCACCTCGCCTCAGGAGTCTGTGAGGTAGCCCACTTATATTTGGTGTCGGTCAATAAAGACAGATCTTATTATGACAGGACCTTAGAAACAGGTCTAAGTGATCATCATCGAGTCAATGCCCCGAGCATACTCTAAGACATTTCAATGTCACGCAAATGACAATCAACACATAGCACATACTCCCCCTGATGACAACTATTGTCACAGACCATGTTCCCATAGCATTAAACTTCTCTCAGATGTATGCGTAGGCAAGAACCTTCAGATCCTCAAACCATTAGTCTTAAAAGACTTGTCTCATTTCACCGCTAAAACGAGAATAGGGAACATAGAGAGTAATGCATTCCATCACTATCATATACCACAATACTATACTGTTGTGCAACGCAATCTGTTTCATCCTTCAGAAGGATTATGGGGATAAATAAGTCGTAACGGCACGCACCTTCTGGTCATGACCCCATCAAGCACTTGGCCTGATCATTGCAACTTTCTCTGACTGTGTCAACAACAATTAGGGATCCACAAGATCAACCACAAGCCTTCCAAAGACATGTTGTAACGATCAGAGTAACTAGCTAGTCTGAAAATTTAAGCACTGTGGGGGATAACACATAGCCAACAACACCAAGTATACCTTAGCAGGTATTAGAGGACACCACCGTTCCTACCATTGGGTAGAACAGATATCACGAGTGTACACACTCCAGTGATAATCGCGAGATGCACATGTGCTTACAAACCCCGTCTGTTTGATCTCATCAGGTTCCTCATTTCAATCTTACCGGGTCATAAATGGGCTATCATCCCTCCAAGGGATTATGCAATATGGTGTGTTCAGACTTACTAATTATTTTGTATCTCAGAGGAAAATTCATCAATAAGGTCTCCCCCTCAGAGAA